TTGTTATCTTTGATGAACTTAGTCTGTGCTCTCATCTGGTACCAGACTGCATGCTAATGCCAATCAAGAGTGTAAATATGCAGAGGAAAAATATTTGGGATATGAATTTTAAATATGCTTGGTGTCATTTTCGTTCAGTTCCCATTGAATCAGGGACTGCAGTGGCAACACCCTCTTAAAAATGTTATCACTGGGGCAAGAAGTGATATCACTGTGCTTAGAGAAATCCATCTCTATTCTTGTGACAAGAAATGCACTGTAAATGGGCATTTTTCCTATCCCTCAGTCCATTCCATTTGTTCCTATTCTTATAACAATTTCAAGCCACTCACCCATATCCTGCACATTAGGGCTGGTTAGGACACGCTATTCATTTATCATACGGGAAATAGGCTGCTTCACCAGCCAGACGTTTTACAGAAAGGTGTTGGTTTTGGTGAGAGGTTTTCTGAAGGTCTGAAAGACAAGAGGGAGACAAAGCCTGTGTCCCAGGACAGCACTGTGTTGGCCGGGAATGAGCTGCACACATGTGCCAAGCCAGAAACTTTGCTTTTCAAAACAGGCACTTTAACACACTTCCATTTTGTACAAACAATGGAATAAACAGCTTGTTTTTATCCTAGTACAGAATAAAAAAAAAAACCAACAGCAGCAACAATAAATGTCACAACCTGAAGAGCTGCTGCCACAAAACAGACGTGTCATCCTGCGGTCAACTTTTGGAGACATTTAATTTGGAGATGTAACTCAGCATCTAAGACACACACACACACACACACACACACACAAGATGATGTAGCTGGTTTTCTGCAATCAGCTTCTATTTTTTTACATCCTTTTAGTTAAAGTATCTATTTTAAGGTTTCCTTTAGTGTCTGTCATCATCTCTTTTAGGTACTGCAGAGGAAATTTTGAAGCACAAATACTCAATAATAAAAACAATAATAATAAATATGAATGTCAGGGAGGCAATTGCTCCAATTTTGGCTTTGAAAAACTCTCCCACTGAATCACTAAACAACCCCAGTTTTCTCTAACCTCAGTACTTTTATCTGTAGGGAGATTGATGTTCTTTTGAAGTTATGGGTCATTTTTCAAAACATTGGTTTCCTCCTATTTTCTGTTCATTTTTCTCAAGATGACTACTCTGTGATGATGCTGGTTAGGACATTGGCTCCTCACCTCTGAAGAGCTGGATGAAAGATTTTAGCCTTTCGTATTTGCCCATTTTATTTATTTAATCATAAACCACGGTACAGGAGGAAACAAACAGCAGGAGGAAACGCAGGCCAGAACTGGAGCAGAGACACGGTGTGAGGTATTAGTAATACAATTGCAAGGGAAACTCTTCGTAGTGTTGCAAACCTATTTAAACCTGCGCTAGGTTGTTGTCAGCACTCATGTCAGTGCATTGCATCAGCTGCACCAAGGTGAAATCAGGACTTGGCCCCACTTCTGCTGGTGACAGTCGTTGGCCTCTCGCTCTGGCAACAGCTCTCTCCTCTCCTTTGAAGAGCAATGGGCCAGACAGTAGCCTAGAAGATAGTTATTTGCAAAAAATATGTTGCAAATAGTGGATTTATGAACACAGGCTTTTGTTAACATATTTTTTTCTATTTCAATAAATACACTGTTAAAAAAAAATGGTGATTTGGAATTGTTGCACATTACAGTGAATACAAATACACTTTATAAATGAATAAAATGCTAAAGCTTCTTATGTTCAGATCTGTCACTCAGTCTCAGCGGAAGTTTATCCTCTTCATGAAGGTTTAAATTTTCTACTGAAATAAATATGAATCAGCACCTCATTCTAAGCCACTGAAATGGTGGTTTGCTTTGTTTTCCTTGACGAAAATCAGATGGGATCCAGTTGGCAAGCTTGCAGCGAATGCCTTAGTGGTCGGAATAATCACCTTTAATCATTTCAAGCCTGGAGCCATTCTGACATGAAAAGGGAAAATCCAGGCATTGCTGTCTGCACCTTCATGAGAAAAACTCCATCTCTGGGCGCACAGCCCAGCAAAGGCCATGGCCTAGGAAAGAGGGAATGATAAAATAAGTTCAGCCCAGCCTGGAAATGCCTCTTGTCCTTGTGGGGACCCTTGCAAAGCTCAGGGGGATGGTTCTGCTGCCCTTCAGACACGCGTTAACCTAGCTGCGGAGGTGCAGGGGAAGCAGGAGGATAAATGATAGTTAATGCCTCCCACCATGCTGTGTGATGGGCTGTGCAAATAAGCAGAGCAGAACTATTCAAGGGCTTCAGAAGGCAAGTTCTGCGAAGCTGGCTGGCAGGAAGGAGCGAGTGCGCTGTTTGTGATGGCTCGTTCCCAGGAAGAGGGCTCTCAATCTCTTTCCCAATGGGGATCTTTTACACAAAGTCATAGCAAACATCAGGCTGGGCATCAGCCAGTTCTGAGGTCTCGCCGTCCTCACATTTCAGAAATAGCGTGCATAGGCCATTTTGTTATTTACACTGAAAATCACAGCTTCCTTCCAAAGTCTGGGGAGGCTAAATGAGATTTGTTAACGCCTCTGGATTTCCTGCTGGGCGAGGTCCATGGTCTGTATGCGGGTGTTGATAGTGTCGCTGTATGACAAGGAGACAGCATACAGAAATTGAAATGGCTGTTCAGCATGAATGTGATTTGTGACCACAGACTCCGCAGTACGTATGAACCATCTCTGGTCTTGTCAAAAGAAGATGCGGGGGAAAACTTATCTTGGAAATAAAATGTTAGCAGAGCTTTTCAAGTGCAGTTGCCACCCTTTTGCCCATTTTCTTCCCCAGTTATTGTAAGAGTTGAGAAATACATGCACTTTCTTCCACCCCCCCCTGCTCTGTCTTTCAGCTCCCTATACTCCTCAAACTCTGCCAGGCTTAAGTCACTGTGCTGGAAGTGCTTTTCAAGCTGACTGGTTCTCAAAAATAGCTAGCTAGGGGGAAAAAAAATCTGGACTGGGACCAGAAAACAGCAAAGGGAAATGGGGGTATAAGGCATGTTTTATAGACCATTTGTTCTCAACTTTTTCTGTCCCCCACGGCATCATGCAAGCAGTTCTTGATTACCCATACTAACAGAGATGTAGGATGTCCCATGTGAAGCAAAAATGTAGCTAATGCAAACCATATGGCTGTTAAGCTTTCAGAACGTTCATTAAAAATAAATAATAAAATAAAACGGGGAAAGGAAATAAAGCCAATAAAACTGGAGCATGATGGTCCCTAAGCTGACTCTGACTTGAGCTTTTAAGCCCACAGTAACCTGTGCCACCTGCTTCTGGATCAGGAGGAGCTGTAGGAGCCTTTCTCTAAGAGTGAGTTTATCTGCACCTCAGCCAGCCTGCCCTAAACCAGCCCAAAGGCAGGACCTCCTTTCTTCCTGCTGTTGAGGAGGAGCAGTGATCACAGGCCCCTGAAATCTGTCCCTTTCAGACTGCGTTCAGCAAAGAGCCCTTATTGTCCTCCTCTAGCTGGTGGATAAACCAGACTACCTGGCACGGAGTCATTCTAGTCTTCTTATTGACAAAGCTAAGAACCTCACAGAGGGCGCTCAGCTTTGTAATTCCTTACCCAGCAGAGTACAGAGCAAGATCCAAACCCCAGGCTTATCTGTTCCCACACGCGTCAATGTGGTGATCAGCTCCCTGTTCTTTAATGGGAGTGCAAAACACAGCCCTCACCCTCCAACAATAGTATTTCAGGCCTGCCACTTGAATAACTGGGCTTGAAAATTGTTAATCCTGCCTTGTGGGTTCTCTACGGGCTGCCAGAAGAAAACAGCTCAGACACGACACACTGCAGGTTAAGTTGCTCAGCGGTCAACGCTGCGTGACGGTGCGTGCGATTGCAGGTGAGCACCATTGAGAGCCTGGTTGTGAAACACACCGGCTGCTCAGTACCATGGCTGAGAAATGAAGAGCCCATACCACAACAGAGTCCAAATATTGCAATATGATGAAGTGAAGAGGACTGCCTGTTCGCAGGTGCCATCAGGCTTTATGGTGATTTTCTCCCCTAGAAGATAAAACCGAAGAAGTTGCTTGACTAATGTGTGCAAGAGTACCAAATGTGCCTGCAAGTTTACTGTGTTTATCCTGTCCTGGTATGCTCCAGTTCTCACTGGAAGGAAACAAGAAATCCTTCCTCTTGAAAATGCTTCTATTAGAAGCTGCTGTCTGTTGGTAGTCTGATGAAAATACCAGGAGGCTTTGCTGTTTGGGAACACCAGGTGTTACTCCATGGGATTACAAGCAAAGCCTCTGTAGTGTGTTGTGAAATAGATGCCTGGATTTGAGGAGATGGTGAAAAAAATCAGGGGAGACTTCAATATAAAATTGTTGGGAGAGAAAACAGTAATTGGGATTCTTGCCATGACGGGACTGAAACCATCGGATTCCCCATGTGCTGTGGGACATCATTTGTCCTGAAGTCAGGAGCCTGCTGATTCCCACCATACTGCAGTGAAATGATGGGAAGGATATTGCAACCTCTCCTTACCTGCCACAGCTGTCAGAGCGTACCTTTTGGTGAGTCTAGGACCGGTCTGACATTAAATAATGGAATACTAAGGGGAAAAGAGCTCCATAAATGTCTGGGAGATATAAAACCCCAAGAAATAATCTGTGCAGGTTTAGAGAGAACAAATTGTACCACCCAAGCTAGATTGTTTTTTGATAGAATTACTAAATTAATGGATGGTTGGAATGAAATCGATTAAACAGTTCTGAGCTCTCAGTAAGGTATTTGATATAGTGTGTCACAAAATCGTGTGTGAAAAATGAATATCCATCTGGGCTGCAAAGAAAGTGTCATGGGAGCTGAGGATTGAATCAAGGACTTAAGGAGAGGGAAAGAAAGTTCAAAAATAAATGACAATGACAAACCAGAAGGAGGAATTTACTCTGAGCTCTCCAAAATCCAGTGCTCGTTTCACTCCTTTTTCATGCCCTATTAGGGAGCTGCTAATGGGAGGTGGAGGAGACCATAATTAGGAGATTCAGCTGAGTTAGAAACATGAGCAGGACTTGGTAGGAAGATGAGTTGCCCTTCAGCCTCAGCTTTGGTCAGTGACAGCTCCTCCCGAAAACCAAAGCAAACGTAGGGAGCAGGGGAAGGAAGAGCACCTGACTGAAGCGTTCAGTGGTGTGCCTGGAAGGAGCGGTGTGGCTGGCCTTGTGCAGAGGATGAGAGGAGAGCTCCTGACTGGCTGACCACCCATTCGACCCGTCTTATCCTCTAACTGGGCTCCCTCTGGGCAGTGGGTTTTGGTTTTCTTTCAATGCTTTCTTTGTCTGGCAGCGGTGCTCTGCCTGTAAGGCTGACGAGCCAGCAGAGACCTGCAGAGATGGGAACTGAAGAGAAGGAAAATGCAACGCAACTCTCGCAGCACCCAAAGAGGGCATGTTAGGGAGTATGCAGGAATGTTTCATACCATGTCACAGGAAGGTCCTGCCTGCAGAGTGCTGATGAAGCCCGACTTCAAATGCAGCTTTTACTGTACTCATTTTTTGCTCTTAATTCTCTGTCTCTTCAATAATGAACAGCATCCTCTTCACATCTGCTTCTCAGGTAAGCTGCATCTTTTAGAAAGGGCACTTCTTGCAAATCAGCACGCAGGTGTCCCACATCCTCAGCTAGCCCAGGCAGGGTGGCTGTGCCCGACCTGCTCCTGGCCAGGGGAAGCCACCATGCCATGAGTGGTCGCTTTGCTTTGCTCTTTCCTGCAGTCACTGCTGCTGAATTCAAGATATCTCGTGGCTGTGCACATGCCCTCTGCACTACCTGCTTCTCCCAAGCAATTACTAAATAGGGTAGGTATTTTTTTCTTTCTTTGGGTCCTACAGCTGGAGAAAAGAGGTGAAATAACCAAACTGAAGGACCAGATTGGGTCTGTAGCATGGCCCTGAGCCCTTGATGCCTCACACAGGCTGTCAATGCCAGTGTCTTCTAGCTTCTTATGAGCACTTATTTCCCTCCCCCCTCCCAATATTAACACTTAATCTGGAGTGTGGTTGGCTACAGCCACTTGTAGACCTAGAAAGTGCCTTTTATTTCCTCGTAAGTGGTTTAGCAATTTCTATTCTGAAGGTCCTGGACCTCTCGTGACTCATTTTTTCAGGTGTTTTTAGATTTTTGAACAAGTATAGAAGCAACCAGGAGTGACAGTAAAACCTTGCTGCACGGAGAGACTAATTTTCTTCTGTTACAGAGATTAATGTTATTCTCTATGAATACAAAAGAAATCTCTTGGCTGATGAACTTTGCTGTGACACCGGGAGGGAATGGCTCCAGACGGCTATTTTCTGTCTTTCCCCAGAATCGCTTCACTCAGCAGCTATTTGTAGGATACTGAATAAGCCAAGGAGCCGTGCCAGTTCCTGCTGAGAATCAGCCATCAGCTCTTGTGCTGGGGGAAAATGCTGTAGGAGCTGAGCCCTTCCAGGGGAAAGCTGGCTAGCTGAAGACCTGCCAGCTGCTGCCAAAGCCAACAAGGCGAGCAGCCCTCGTGGGCGGCCGCGAGCCTGTGGGGTCGGCAGTGAGCTCTGCTGGTGGCACAGCACGCTGGGTGCAAACACGGGGGTTCAGCAGGAGCCAGGGGTCTGTCCTGATTAACACCTTTAACACATTAAGCACGTTTCCATCTAGTTTACCTTGCCCGGTTTGCAAATAAGCCAGCAATGTCGCACCTGCTAAGCAGCTAGAATTATGCATCATCATAAATTAAACTTTTTAATTTGCCAACATTTCTGGCTTATGCCATTTATCATTCAAAGCCATCCTTCAGAGAGGCAGAAGGGTTTTCTGTGCTGTTGTTTATGAAAGGGGAATCTTCTCCCTTTGCCCTGCTGCACAGGACAAGGGTGTGGGTGCTGGCGGGTCGAGTGCTGGCATCAGGAGCTGCTCATCAGATGGAGGTCTCGTCGGTGAAGTCATTAAGCCCAGGACACAACGCTGTGCTTTGCACCACAAACCCACTGCAGCTGCTTCAGGCTGAGCAAATGTTGATGTCCTCTCTTTGGGTCACCGCAACACCAAGTGAAGCCCACAGCAGCCTTCAGGCAGGGGGGACGCACTGAGGAGCGAGCTGCCTCGCTGCTCTCAGATGCTCGGAGAAGTCCTTACAAACAGGAGCACGATGCTCACATCAGTGATGCTGTTCCAGCTGAGCAGGCTGGCATCAGCTACAAACGCTCTGCAATACAGTGAGGTAAAGTGTCCTTATGAAGCTGGGTGGTTTTGACCTCCCTCTTGCCTCGATTCAAGGCTCAAAGCTACTTAACCCGGGAGATGGGGAATCAGAGAAGTGGCTATTTCTGTAAATGCATTTCACTGATGAAGGCCAGGCTTTGAAGATTGATATCTCTCTAAAACTCTTTAATACCGTGAATATCTGTCGGAAAAAATATTGACGACTCCGGGTTTTATGTACAAGAGCAAGGCTGTGTTGGTGCTTCCCAGAAACGAAGTCAGAAATGTGAGCTTGTCTCAGGTCTGGTAATTCTGGACCACAAGGGGGTGCTTGCAACGCTTTTTCCCGTGAAAAAAATATGAAGTTTTTTTTTCCCTCACTGCCTTTCCTTTAAAATCAAACTCTGAACACTGCTCATGGTTTCAAGAATGGTGGGGGTGGTGGGGGGGTTCTCCTTCCAAACAAGAAATAAAACTTGGTTGTGGACTAGAATAGATGGGGTAGTGGTGTGTGCAGCGGAAACTATAGTTGTATATAGAAAAAATAATATATAATGATATATTTTCCATATATAGAAAAAACAATTTCCCATGAAATAAATATTCGAAGTCAAAACATTTTTTTTAAACAAATCTATGAAGAATTGTCTGGGCAGCAAGTAATATAAATGAGTTAAACTAGTCATATGCAGTTGCCCTTTTCCGTAAGCAAAAAATCCATGTCAAAACAGATGTAGATATATGTGGATGTGCTTAGGGTAAGTGAGCTGCATTTAAAGAACCCCAAAATGGCAGCACTACACAGTCTGATGCCAGCAAGAGGATGAGGGCAATTTATGGTACCTTGCAGAGAGAGAGTTTAATTTGGATGCTACCCCTTCTTTCCACAAAGCATCTGCATAGCTGCTGGCAAAATACGTCGGGAAGGAGCCAAGAAGAACAGCAGCGAGTGGCATGAACCCCACAAAGGGAAAATAAAGTCCACACGCTGTGTGCAGCACAGCCTTTCCTGCCCACTCTCTGCTTTATGAGGAGCCACCAGCGCCCCTGGGGTCAGTGGCAGAAGATGGTTTTCCATGTCTTGGCCTTGCTGCTGTGATCTTGCTCCCAGGAATCACCAGGCGCCCTCAGGGGACCTGCAGCTCCCCACGGTCCCCTTGCTGCCCACTGTTGTGACAGGGGATGTGCCAGTGCTGTGGGTCTGTGCCTCGTCGGCTGCGTCTTGGGTCTGCAGGGCCTGCCCTGCAAGCCTCAGCCAGATCTGTCTGCAACAGCATCCTGAATAGGCTATGTCCTATTAGTCTGAGCACTAACTTCAGCAAGTTGGGAGGTATTTGCAGTGACTTGTCTTTGCTTTTTTTTCTGGCTAGCTTTCTCCAAGTGGGACCCTGGGCCAGGGAGAGAGCAAAGGGGGTGTGAAGATTCAGAGCTCTTCACCACACCCTGCAGTACATCGCATCCATGCTCTCGAGGCACCAGACTGCACTTCTGGTCTTAGGCAATCAGGACAGCCCAGGTTTTGCCTTGTTGCAGTCTATTCTGAGGGAAGGCAATCTCTTAATCAAATTAAATATGCACATTGCCCATTTGTTTTTCAAAAAAATGGATCTTCTATACTATATCCCTGCTGTTAGAGATATAAAAACTCTTTGTTTAAAGTAACACTGCATCGTTGCTCTTTACTTCTCCTAAATTAAAGAAAGCTGTAGTGTGTGGACCAAGGTTGGAGAAGGTACACACCTCTCATATGTGTCTTAGTCATATTTATTACTGGACATGAGAAGGTGAAGGACTAGGAATGTATTTGTGCCTTGGATATGCTTGGGTATGCCACCAAGCCCTTGCACTTGTTCTCAGAAGCTCTAACAATGTCTGTTTTGTCCACTTGCTCCTGTCAACATCCTTTGTTGTCACCACCCCAGAGCAGCAGCAGGTAAAAGCACAATACAGTCCCCTGCAGTGGGGTCCTTGGATGGCAGATTTTGGGGAGAGAAATCTTGATTTCAGCTCTGGGCCAAGCTGTGTCCCTGTGGGCCTGTTGGGGCAGGTTCTGCCAGCCAGGACCCATCCCACCACCCCAGCTGGAACCCAGTGGTTGGCCAAGGGGCTTCCCCGAGGGTCCTGTGTGGCACCCCAGGAGGTGCCATGGGGTGGGTGGTGGTGGGTCAGTGATGTGGATGCACCCATGGGTTGCAGAGCATGGTGTGCTTCGGCTTACCTCTGGATCCAGAGGAGCAATGCAAGTAATTCCAGGTCCGGTGGTGGAACAAGCCCGTGCCAATAGGTTGGTCCCGTTAAAAGTCTTCCAGAATCCGACTGAAATACCTCATCACCATGCAAAATGTATTTAGAGCTTTGCACCTGTGAGTTGTAATAAAAAAATATGCTAACATATACAGCAATAAGGGGTGATTTGTGATGTTAATGACTTTCCCATCTATACATTTACTGACAAAATATATTGCATAATTTATGAAATTGCTTTAGCACTCACAGCACAAATGATGCCTCCTGATTGGCTAAATGCAGTGCCATATGTTGTATATAAAATGTATTTATACTCAACCAAGATATAAATTGTAAGGAAGCCTTGAGTACAATGATAAAATTATAAACACATTTTCCGCCTGTTGAACACAGAATTTATATCTGTAATCTTATCTTGGTTGTGTTACAACAGTCAACTTGGCTTCTATATTCGCCCCTAAAGGCTTTCTTCAAATATTCCCTCACTAGAAGTATTTTTTGAAGCTCTACAACCAGACAATTAAATGAGTACAAAGAGCACAATAATTACTTAACACAGCCAGTATCATGTCATGTGTGCTAATGTCTTTCTTCCTTTTAGTTTATTTGATCTAGCGATATGCTACGCTGATAGACTGGCTTCCAATTCTATATTCAACTCAGATGCTGGCAGTTTTAAGAGAGCATTTTTGTTAGAGAAAAAATACATAAGTGTGCCAAAGTTTGAAAACTGGGAAAAGTTAAAGTTATCCAGGGATTTTCCATTCCCATCAGCTGAGCACAGCATTTCAAATTTGAACTCTATATAATTATATCTATATTTATATCTATATCTATCTCTATCTGTATCTATCTATATCTATATAGTCACTTAATTATTCCATTTCCAAATTGTTTAAATCATATCATCATACAGAGAAATGCTTTAGATCTATCCACTGGGCCTTGATTCATCCTTTCTGAGAGAAGTTAGGTGTAAAGTACAGGCTCAGGGTGGGCAGATCCTTGCAGGCTCCTTGGGCAGAGCCTCGGCACGTGTGTTTCATTTGAAATACAGCTTTCTGACAGTCCCGGTACACATTAGCCAGGTTGGCCGTCTTTCCTTTTTTTTTTTTTTTTTTTTTTCCCCTTCTTTTTCCAGAGAGAAACGAAGATCCATTTAATGGCTGCCAACTTCATTATCTGATTGATGGCCTTGCTGGCCTGGCTGAGCACTGCTCTGAAGGTTAGGTTTCCTGAAAGCAGAAGCAACCCCTTCCCATGACCACTCTGACACGAGCAGAACAAGCAATTTATCTGCCTGGCTGCTGAATGTATTAATATTTGAAGTTAATTTGTCTGCCTGAATAATCTGGTGCCAAATCATGTAGCCATTTATCAGTTGTAATGGGAAGATGCTGCTCTTGTCTGGGCGCCTTTAGAGGTAACCAGCATAACCTCAGCACATTGACACAGCTGATTGTGGAAAATTACATCGCAATATTGTTCTGACTGCTTGGTTACAAAAGGTATTTAGTAGCTTTATGTGCAAGGTTGGACTAAATTATATCCGGGTAGCTGAGATGAAGTGTAGCAAATAAAAATACAGTTGTTGTTCCAGTACCACCTGGGGGAGGGCGTCTAATTCTTCACAAGCATTTTAACTAAACATAAACCTCACGCAGCAAGCATGAATGTTGAAAGAGAGTATTCACAGAGGAGATTTTGGGAGGGGAGGGAATACTGTGTCTAAGGGCAGGGAAGGTAAATGCCCCCGGAGCCAGGCAAACCTCGTCCATCTCCAGCAGCCGACACGCTGCCCTGCTGACAAGTGCGGTGGGACAGCGGGAGGAAGAGCGGTGCTGTCAGTGTGAACGAGGGCCCTAGCTGGAGAAGAAACATTTGGCAAAGCTGTCTGCTGAAACAGACGCGAGATGACCACAAACTGGTCCTTGAAGCGCACTCAGAGATTCAGGATGTGGGTCAGAGCAATTTGGCAAGAGAGGACGTTGGCAAGGGCGAGGGGGGAAGGAATACAAACAGAAAGGGGGGGAAGCACAGTGCGACCAGCAAGCTCTGTCATCTGGTAGGAAGGCAGCGCAGTGTAACATACCAGAAGCTTTTATGCGAATCAATTACAACAGCGCTCCCTTACTGCCCCTTTTGGCTGCCAGACCGAGGTGTAGCTCCATGTGAGGCAGCCTGGAGAAGGCAGAAGGCAAATTGGTCATTCATTTATTGTTACTGAAAGAGGTAGGGATTTGGGCATGTGCTATCCTCCTGCCAGATCACAACACAGGTTGTTACAGGAGCGTTAGCAGTACCAGGATGGGAAGAGTAGCTTGTCTGGGGAATGGCTTGTACTTCGCTCATCTTTCACCAGGAGAAGGCCAATGTATACACAAATTGAAAATAACGAAGCAAAAGAGTTGCAATCCTTTGGCAGCTGTTTTTAGCGGTGCTGTCCCTGAGGATTTGCTCAAGAACTGATTGTTTTCAGATGGAGACTGTAGCCATTCCCAAACACCAGGCTGCAAGCCACCGACGTAGCTGCATCTGTGCCATTCCCCTCCCCTTCCCTCAGTATCGCCGGGCCGTACGAAGTAACGTCCAAGCTACACCGCGGTTTATGTAGCACGTAATGCCGATGAAATTCCTGTACATGGCCAACAAAGGTCATTCTCCTTCTGCCTGGCTCTGAGAGAGTTTCACAGGCATTCGCACCGAGCTGCACGGAATAAAGAGCACAAAGACCCGCGGATAATGAAGCCTTCAAGGACCAGCAGCAAATTTCATCCCGCTTCGCATGTGGCAAGGCAGTAACTATATTTCACTCCCAAGACTTCTCATCCCCAGAAGGCTTTATGTTATAGGCTGATTGTTACATGCCATATAAATCAGAATTTCAAGGGGGCACAACAGCAGGCTGGTTCTCTGTGAGTTCAAGTGAACCTCTGAAAGTTGCAAGTACAGAGAGTAACTCGAGGTTGGATACGTCCCAGTGTCCCTTCGGAGGCTGTAATTACTAGCCCCATGAGTAATGCGAGGATTAAATACGTGATCCGGCATGGCGCTCTGTCTTCTGAGTTATCTGAAGTTAATAGTTTCTGGGGAAGCAGCTCTTCAGGGTCAAATGCCACCTCCTTGTACAACATCTACACTCACGCAGGTCTGGGAGATCACAGGCAGGGCTCTTGTGCATCTGTACCATTCATTCATGGCAGAGCAAAAATACAAGCAGAGCTTTTGTTGTAGTAACTGCTGGTTATAGATAACACTTGAAAGCTGCTGAATGCTGTGTGGATAGAGAGGAGGCCAAGTATCATCCCCAAATTTTCTGCCACACACACTTCAATTCTTTCTCATTTTAAGTGAATGGGTCAGCCTCCTCCAGGCCTGGTTATAAATGAATGCCTTGCTGATGCTCTCAGTCTAGACTCTTGACTTTGGTGTTTATTTAGGTTTATTTTAATGACGTGCTTAAATCATGTGCTTAATTTTATGTGTGTAAGCAATCCTATTCATTTTAAGGCAAGTACGGCCATGTTTAGAACTGTTGAGGCATGTTGTTGACCGATGGCTGTGGAGCTTGGTCCTACAAACACTCCTGTGCCACCCGTGGTGGGGTGACCCTGTCCAGCAGCTGAGCCTCACCACACAGCAGTGTGCCAAATCAGTCATACCTGAAACCTTGGTGTGTTACTGACACTGTTTTGGTCACAAATCCAAAACACAGCAGCATACACCCAGCTATGAAGAAAATTAACTTGATACCAGCCAGACCAGGAACGCCATCAGGACATGACATGTACAAGGATGGATGAGCTCAAATGCAAAATGTATGTGACTATCAGATTGATTTTTGTGCACAAGTGGGATTAGACAAGGGGATATTAATGTAAGCGTTTGTACGACTGGGAGTTTTGATTGCATGTACTCTGGCCTGGAAGTAGTATTAACGTGGCCTCTGAGCATAACTTCAGCAAAAAGAAAAATCACCCCAAACAAACAACAATACCACCAACAACAAAAACA